AGCCATCAAGATGTCTTATTTTCGAATTCTAGAAGAAAGCGACAGCTTCTTCGTATAATTTACATGTACAGAGATGGGGACTTCTAGCTCGTTAACTTTCTTCGGATTTCTTGGCGATAATCTCCGCAAATTAGTTCCGCTTATTGCAGGCAGGAAAAGAGGAGATGTTAGATCAGTCTTACTAGATTTAGTTTGCTTATGTGTTCGACATTGAGACTAGAGGATCTTTATCTATTAGGACCATTTTCCTGCTCATTTAAGCGTATTAGACATTTATGGCTAAACCTATGTTTTATAGCCCAATCCGCACTGTGTGGGTGATGTGGACAGCATTACTGTGGCTCCCTTTTCCCTGTAACTGTACCTGTTACCCACTGAATGCTGGGTCAACCTGGGCGCCAAGGTCATTTTTTGGAAAAAAGTTCGGCTTCGTCAAGACCTGAACCTATGACCTTTCGATCAGCAGTCAAGAAGGTCATTAGGGTTCTAGCGTGAGTAATAATCGTCGATAGAAGGACGGTGGAATTTATAAGAGAAAAAGACAAATTATAAATGCAGTCTGCAAAGCAATCTTGTGCTGTCAGTGTCTGACTTGGACATTGATTAAAGAACGCGAGAGACAAATAAGCACATGACCAGCGGCTACATCACGGAAAATAATTCACTGATTACGTAATACATGCCTACTTACCAGGGGTGTCAAAACCTTAGAAATCGATCGGAGAGGTGGGGGGGGGGGTGTCTTACATACTTTATTCCTCCTTAGTGGGGGAAAAAAAAACTATTTATATAAACTAATAAGGGGACTAAACTTCCTCCAATTATGTATAGAAGTTATATTTTTTAGGTTGTTGTTTATTCATATCAAATAATTTTGAATATTATGCTTATGCAAGATTCAGCTCATTGTTATTATTAAACACTTAAACGAAGCTTAAGCCCCCTTGAATCCCTAATTTTCATTTATTTTATCTTTTTTTATTGGTGTTTATGTATTTTAGTATTTGGCAGATAGCATAGAAATTATTTTATATAAACTTATAATTATATAATAACTTGGCTCCCAGGTCGACAAAGCCTTGAGTGGGTACCGGGTGCAGTCCTGGGAAGTAAAGGCGGCCGGCCTGATGTTGACCACATCACCCAACTTGTGCCGATTGGTCTTTACAAATATAGGTAGTGTGGTAAAAGTTCCTTGACTTTACTTACATAATTGTATAATATTTCAATAACTGTGATTTTTGTTTTCCATAGGAACAGACTAATCATTCTTTTCCTTTATTTCAAATGGGGAGAATGGTTTTCTGTACGTACTGTTTGCTAAACGTTGAAGGTTCAGGACTTAATTAAGTATGTGTACGAATGTTGAACTACAATTACTTGTACGTATGAGTAGAAGCCTACATCTGAATGCCTACCTCCCTGTGTGGGTTCCAGGGTCCCATTGTTTGGGAAAACAAGAATAGACTCATTGTCTACCCAAAGCATATGTCTTAAGAGTTGACTAAATGGGAACTTCCTTAGGAGTTAGAGTACATATGCCTGAGAGGCAAGGAACTAACAGTCTGCATACAAATGAGTCAGATCTGTTAAATGGATGTGCACGCAGCATGCAGGTTCTTGAACAAGACTAGAGTTTAGAAGTGGATGAACAACCAGAACTTTCCGCCGGAGCTGATTACAGATGTTGCCAACTTGTATGCAGACTGTTGGTTCCTCCCTTCTAGGCAGATGCGCTCCAAGTTGGGAAAACAATTCATAATTGGTCACCTGTTTTGACTTTTATTTTAGGGAGCCAGTGGGCCTATTCCCCTCCCCCCTCCCCAAGAGGCCTTGAACCAAAAAGTGAAATTTTGGTACTAGCTGGGAAATTATAGTAAGTACTTTAAATATACCATGTTATGGTTCCATTTCTACAATGTTATTTATTGAAATGTTTCAGTCAGACAGTCTGATGGTGTCTAGCATGGATACCTCAAGCATCTCCCGTGCCTCAAGTCTGGGCAGTCGTGAAAGTTATGAATCAAGGTAAGGTCAATATTTATAGATGGGTGGAGCGGTCTACAATCTACAGGTTACACTATGTGCATCTAGTTCCTGCAGACCTGGTTCATTTCACGGACCAGTCTGTGTGGATTTTGTAAAAAATAAGAAGAAGATGGCATACTTCTATCTTGGGGAAGGGATCTGGATGTTGGATGTTTCTGGACAAGGAGGAGGTGTAGAGACGAGTGAGGAGAAGGAAAAGAGGAAGAAAAAGATAAAGATATCGATGAAATGATGACAAAGAACAAGAAGCAGCAGCATCAGCAAGTTCCTTACATTAAAAATTTAAATTAATCAAAAACTGAAAACTTCACAAGGGCTTTGTGAATGGCACGAACAGTTTTCATACACTCTTGACAATACACTGAAACTGCAAATGATAAAAGTTGTTGGCAGACATCCAAGGACACATCGAACTGCTCGTAGCAAAATATATTTTGCATGACTGGTGTGTCTGTCATATTTTGCTATTTTGCTTTATGATGGACAACTACAGAGAATATTTGAGGATAAAATCTTTCTATCCCCACTTGGGGGAATGTTCTGGGGCCCTATCAGATGGAGGAAGGTGAGGAGCATGAGATATAGACAACACAAGAGAGAACAGACCCCAGTGCTGTTTGATAAGCAAACTGCAATAGTTGACTAATTATGGGTCTGCCAGATTGTCTCCCCTTCTTCTTCACGTTCACTGGCTGTAGCTCTGGCGGAAAGTTCTGGTTGTTTGTCCACTTCTGGAATTTAGTCTTATTCCAGAATTTGTTTGTTCCTCGCCTCTCAAGCAAACGCACTCCGACTTTGAAAGAAACACCCATAATTATTCTATTTCTACAACATGCTTGTTAAGAGGGTCTACTCCCCAACCCCCAGCCCCTCCCTTCAAAATGGAGAATGCTAAAATCAAAGCTCTGCACGGAGCGCACTGGTCGTTGCATTGTCTTATATTTTTTTAATAAAAAGTGTCGTCAGCACAATCCACAAAAAGAAACCTTTAGAATATGGACAGGTAGACTGCAGTCACTGACGTGATACTTGTACTAACGTTGGCTTCTCTTATCTGGTTTAGCCAGCTTCTCAGAGCTATGGGCTTGTAATGGCTGCTGACACATACATACAGACATCTTCATGATAATTAAGTTTTCTATAGTTATTTAGCCAGCAGATCATCCTCACTGTATTCGTACCATTTAGTCCATAGATGCTTGAATCCTCTCCACAGTACATCCTACAACACAAATGTTGAATTAAAAATCAACATCACAGGACTCAGAACACTCCCATAGGTGCTCTGTTCCCCATCTTCAGCAGCAAGCGAAGAGTTCCAGTTCCAATGGCACCAGTAACTGTCTGATTGTATATACATCTCGCCTTTTTCTTGAGTGTTGAGCGTCGGCCAGATCCCATGTTAACTCCTCACAGTGCTTTCTCCTCAGACTTTATGGATCTATCTGTGCCTCTTCACTTGCTGCTAAATAGCCCTCACAACATCTAGCTTGTCATAGATCATTTCACCACCAAATGGTTCGAAATCGGACAGCCTGTCTGTCTGCTTGTTTCTGAACACAATGGCAGGACCTGGAGAAAATATCCAAAGGACACGAGCTACCAGGGACCTCTGAAGTGATGCTTGCCACTCTGCACGGAGCATGCCTGTCTCCACCTTCCTCAATATGTTCTGTGAGTCAGTTACAATTACGTCATGCATGTACAGCTGATTCTCAAACCAGTGAAAGTCAGCAGTGACTTTCTTCACTTCCATTTTTAAACTAAATGTTGTAATGTAATATACCAGGCTTTGCTGTACTAAGCGACGTCCATTTGCTTTTGCTATGTATCCTTACGCACTTTTGTCTGCCTTTCAACACTGAGCCATCTGAATAGATAATCACCTGGGCAGGAATTGTCATGAATCATTTGTTGAACTTCTGATTTTGCAGCACCAGCTGACCAGTTCATGCCTGACTCATGACCTAAAGTGATTAGAACCCTACACATTTCTAACAGCTTGTGCCATACAAGACCTTCGTCTTTTCAGTCTGTGACTCTTAGCTCTATCCATGGCTTCATGGAGTAGATGCTTCTTGTCTGCAGCTACTCTGAGATATAACTGTGCTAGCAAAACTTTGAGCCTATCTGCAATAGTAGGCAGTGCATTTATATCTCATATACATACTACCAGGGTTTCTCTTCTACATCCCAAATTACTCACTTAATTCTGTATGGGTTCAAGTTTCATCAGCTGACTCTTTGATTTGGTAAACATTCCAAGCCCATAATCTGTCGCCGACAGGATCACATGCTGGAACATTGTGAACTGCATTGTTTGTTCCATCTCCATTGCTGCCATAATCTTGAGAGCATTGAGTCTCTTTTGGCATTCCAGCACAACTGCCTCCACTTGATCCCTGAAGGACAGGCTTCTATCAAAACTGATACTCAGGTACCTCAGTTTGCTTTCTCTTTAGATGTTCCTGTCATTAACTGAGATTCTTGGAACACTGGCTTTTACAATTCTTTTGTCCAGAGAGCACCATGAAGAAAGTGGTTTTTTCTGAGTGACATGGGGAATTGATAAACCTATGAGAGTTGACTATGACACACATCATTGGGAAACCATAATTCTTAGTCGTCATAGACGGTCTGTGTAGAGATCAACTGGATATTAAGAAGAATCGCTCAGCTCGCTAGCGCAGTTGATTATAACCCTTTGCGTGGCGACCAGGTGACGAACTCCTTGTGGTCCGAGTTCATGACCGGTTGTAGGCACAAAAGCGACAATTCTCCCATATTTACGGCATCTTTCATGGAATCAAGGCCAAAAAGCTGCGATATCCATAGTACCGAGCCAAAGGGTTTACAACCGATTTTGAAATTCAAGTACAACTTTTAGACATCAACTTACACTGAAATTAAATCTTTTGTGTGTTTACTTTATCTACACATTCAGTGATCCAATGACAGAAAGCTCCAGCTGGGCAGGATCACGCTGTGGAGGGGACAGCACTCACAGCCTGAATTTGGGGAGCTTAACTAGGGCATCCAGTCAGAATTCGGAGCTGGCCAAACAAGTGTATGAGCAGAGCCGGGTGAAAGGTCAGTATGAACTTGGTGCATCTTGCATAGACATTTACATACTCAAGATGTGTTAACAGTGGATGGTGTTATTGTGTGAACATTATCAAAGGCTTGCATAGACATTTACATACTCAAGATGTGTTAACAGTGGATGGTGTTATTGTGTGAACATTATCAAAGGCTACCTAAATTACGCCTCCATGGAACAGCTGGAGTGGATGGTGCTTTTTGTGTGAATTATCCCCTCCAAGAGCACAAAGGTGTTATGGGCAATATTGTAGAGACCTCATGTGTTAACCATATGTTGCATTATAATCCTTCTCTCTGCCTTTACTTGTTTACAGTGGATGGTGTTATTGTAGTGGAACATAGTTTATCAAAGGCTACCTAAAGGCCTCCATGGAGTAACCCCTCAGTTCCTTTGGAACAGAGCTGCCTTGTTTAGGAAATGTAACTGTTCAGAAGCAGCGCTGCAGAAGCTTCTGGATCAGATGAGTAATGCTCTGTCAGAGCTTTCCTTCTAGACCAGCGTCCAGTCAAGGCTAAGCGCCTGGTCTGCCCTGCCATAACAAAGTTTTCAGGTTGCATTTTCTCTTCCTAGGATAAGGCTAGTATCCTCCTCAATGCGCTCCTCCGCTCGAAGCCGGAAGAAGAAATTACCATCTGTGAAATGAAATACCTGAGGAAAGAGGCCAACTTAACTATCCGAGACCAAATAAGAAATGAAACTATCAGACAGACTATTGGAACAGCATCATTTGCCAGTTCATTGAGAAACAGAAGGTCAAATGGTTTGGGTATTTCTTTAGAATGCAACCAGAACCAACAGAGGCGCTACACGGGAAAGATTTGATGTGAAATCAAGATGTCATCATAGGAAAATATGGATTGATGACATTTAAGACATTCTACATCAACAAAGAATGAAAATAGCCATTCATACCTATCAAGCAGTGGATTGCAAACTGTTCCTCCCTAAAATGCATAGCTGCAAAAGTGGAAATTGATAATGATGATGGTGTTATTGTCATCCCATGCTTTTGGCATAAATATTTTGTGTAGTCCAGTGTTTTCAATTATTTTTGTTTTATTTTTTATTTTTGTTTTAAACATTTAATTTATGTTTGTACCAAAAGACAAACCTGTATTTGATTATTATTATTATGTTAACTTCTTAACATAATTGTCATCAGCATATTTTCCTTCTTGTCTTTGAACAACAGGAATACTGCTCTATATGATGGGACCATGTGGTAAATATAACATCTTTATTTTTGTTTAGTTTTGTCCCTATCATTTTTATTGTTAATCCATAAGTGCTCAAGTCTCTCCTTTTAGAAAACCCAGAACATTGCACGAGCTTCACATCATTGGTGACAATCTATGTGAGACTATGCAAGAACCATACATTCAGTATGAGTTTTTTTTTTTTTTAATTTCCAATTGCTGAAGACTTTTAATGTGTGCTTTGTTAGGAATGGGTCCTCTGAGTTTATTGTCATTGTCTGATAAGGCTAGACATGCAATCCACTACCCCAGATTAGAGATGAGTACAGGAATCTGTGCTTATTTTATAACCCCTTTTCCCCTAACTACACACTTCTTTGTCTTTGTCTCATCATGATCTTCTTCTTTTTCTGTGTTTGTCTTAAACGAATGGTTGGCAAGCTTTGTTGTGGCTTACAGCCAGTCTGTGATATCTCAGCCTTTTTTCCCAACACCTGTTTTCAGCAAATCCTTACTTGGCTGCTTTTTATGATGTGTTTATTGAGGAGTAGTGTGTCCATCTTAAACATTTCATTATATTTATTTCACATTCAGCACATTATTATTAATAATCAATTTAAAAAGAGTTATGACCCTTTATGGCCCCTTTCAACAATTTTTTTTACACTAATTAATAATATTGGACTTTGTCACATTACTTATAGCCTGTACTAAATTAATATTTATGGTATTTTATGAAATTATGAAGTAACTCATTGCTTCTTCTTCTGCAATCACCCTAAAAAGGGAGGTTGGCACACTTTTTTGTGGTTTACAGCAAGGATGTGATATCTGCACCTTTCCAGAACATCTAATTATAGCAACTCTAATTAGTTACTTTTTACAACATGCTTGTTAGGGGGTAGTGCACCCACACAATTTCCTGAGCCCACTCAGGGATCTCATAATAAATGTTAAAGTAAATATAATTGTAAAACTTTTGCAACAGATGGCATTGGTGATGATCCTAGTTTTCGTGTGCAAGAATCTACACTTGCTATAAACATTGTGTAATCCATACATGCTACAAAGTCCGGCTGCTGTGGAGGCAGATGTGCAGGCGTTGATTTTTTAGAATTCTTTAGAGGGGGACACTATTGTTTACACAGATGGGTCTGTGCTTCACCACATAAAAAACTCATGGGCTTTTATGACTCAGGTTGGAGTTAGAATTGTGAAGCAAAATTCCGGTGCTTTTGCCTTGACCACAAGTAGTCTGACTATTGAGATCATGGCAGTGATCAAAACATAAAATTGCAGGAAACGCAAACCTTTACCGGTACATGTTTTCCAAGTGACTCACAATGTATGCTGAGGAAGATAGATGGGCTGGATTCGAAGACAGTGGTTGGAGTCTCCTTAGGCGGTCGGAGCTGACACATATCAGTTTCATATTCTTGTCAGGGTACACAGGAAAGCACCAAGCTTGCAGGTAAAGCCACCATAGAGGGCGGACAAGCAATGGACCAGGTTTGAAATGCTAAATGCTTTATGAGAATTAAGACATTTGCAAGAACCAGGTAATGACTGAATCTGCAATCATGACCAGACTGCAAGAACAGGGGTGTTGTCAGACAAAAGCGTGTATACACGCTGCAGGATTTATTTAGGAGACGATCCAAACTCTTATAAACTGAAGGGTTTAATGTGCAGTGAGGGTAATCTCGCCCGTGTGTCACCGGGGCCCTCACGGGAAGCAAAGAATAGTGACACTGCACCCTACCAGGCATGTCGTATGAGGCGACTAAGGGTAGGGTTGGGCTTGAGGTTGGCTACCTCATCCTGTAAAAACCATAGCCACAAAAACCAACCAACCATGGATAAGTCAAAAAGAGAAGCAAATAAAATCCAGCCAACCAAGATGAGGGGAGGCTCTTCAAATAGAAAAAGTATGACACGGTGTGGAGAAAGCCGTAAGGAGTCCGGATCATTGACTTACCTCCTCTCAGCTAGGAAAACCTCCAGAATTGGCACCTGGAATGTTAGAACTCTCTATGATATAGGGAGAACAATGGAAGTAGCAAAGGAAATGAAACATTATAGAATTAGTATTTTGGGGTTATATGAAACTAGATGGACTGGGACAGGGAAAAGTATTCTAAATTCAGGAGAAACTATTTTGTTCTCAGGACACACAGAGGAAAATTCGCCGCACAGTGAAGGAGTGGCCCTGATGCTATCAAAAAAAGCAGACAGGGCACTAATATAATGGGAAGCTGTGAGTCCCAGAATAATAAGAGCATCTTTTAGAACAGTAAAACAGAAGGTGAACATGTCGGTAATACAGTGTTATGCACCAACAAATGATAAAGATGCATCTGTTAAGGAAGAATTTTACATGCAGCTTCAAAATATTATAAATAATGAAAGAAAGGGCAACTTAAAAATTTTGAATGGTGACTTGAATGCTAAGATAGGATCAGACAACACAGGTTATGAAGAAATTATGGGGAGACATGGTCTAGGAGTAATGAATGAAAATGGAGAATTGTTCACAAATTTTTGTGCAGGTAACCAGTATGTCATTGGTGGAAGTATTTTTCCCCATAAAAGAATACACAAGGCAACATGGGAATCACCAGACCATAAGACAACTAATCAAATTAACCACATATGTATTAACAAAAAGTTTAGATCATCCCTTTACGATGTTAGGGCTTTCAGAGGTGCCGATGTATTTACTGACCATTTCCTGGTGATAAGTAAAATCAAGTTGAAACTAAAAAGATATATAACATCTTATAATCATAGAAACCAATATAATGTAGGCTTTCTCAGAGATAAAGAAATTAAGGAACAGTTCTCAGTTACGGTCTCTAATAAGTACCAGGTGTTGCAGCAGTTAGCTGAAGATGTCAACACAGAAGTCTGCTGGGATCAGATCAAAGGAATCTGGAATGAATCTTGCGTAGAAGTTCTTGGCAAGAAAGAAAGGAAACATAAAGCATGGATAACACCAGAAACCATTAAACTGATTGAAGATAGGAAAAGTAAAAGGCAGAATTAAACAATAGCAAAAACTAGAGCTGCTAAAGCTAGAGCTCAGAAGAATTACACAGAAGCCAACAAGGAAGTTAGGAGGCATATAAGGGCAGATAAAGTGAAATATCTAAATGATCTAGCACAAGAAGCGGAGACAGCAGCAGCAAAAGGAAACCTCAGAGAACTTTACAGTAACACAAGAAAATTAGTAGGTAAATATAGTCAGCCAACTGGATCAATCAAAAATAGTCAAGGAAAGGTACTTACTAACACTAAAGATCAAATGGACAGATGGGTTGAATATTTTGAAATGCTTCTAAATAGACCAGGCCCAGAGGTTCCCCCAGATATCCAGCCTTTAGAAATGGAACTGGATATCAGCTGTGAGATACCATCCAAAGAGGAAATTAGAAAAGCTATAAATCTTCTTAAGGAAGGAAAGGCGTCAGGCCCAGATGGTATCCCAGCTGAAGCCATCAGGACCAACATAAACACATCAACAGAATTGCTACATAGATTATTCAGTAAAGTCTGGGAGACCGAAGAAATACCAGCAGACTGGAGAGAAGGATATCTTGTGAAACTGCCCAAAAAAGGTGATCTACAGGAGTGTGAAAACTATAGAGGAATTATGTTGCTGTCAGTTCCTGGAAAAATATTAAGTAGAATTATTTTGGAAAGATTAAAAGATGCTATTGATAAAATGCTAAGAGATGAGCAGGAAGGTTTTCGGTCAAACAGATCCTGTACTGATCAGATAGCCACATTACGTATTATAATAGAGCAAAGCATTGAACTAAACTCACCACTTTACATTAGACTATGAAAAAGCATTTGACAGCATAGATAGGGAATCTCTCTGGAAATTGATGGGGCACTATGGAATCCCACAGAAAATTATCAACTTAGTAAAGGCAACATATAAAGACATGAAATGTCGAGTTCTTCATGAGGGAAAGCTAACAGATGCATTTGAAATAAAAACAGGTGTGCGACAGGGATGTCTTTTCTCGCCTCTCTTGTTTTTACTGGCTATAGATTGGACTATGAAAACAGTAACTGCTAACACCAAGAATGGAATTCAGTGGACTCCTACAAAACAGCTTGATGATCTGGACTTCGCTGATGATATTGCTCTTCTGTCCCATTCACGGAATCAGATGCAAGATAAATTAAATATACTTAATGCGAGATCACAGCAGCTTGGTCTGAATATCCATAAAGGAAAGACAAAGATAATGAGAATAAATCAGGCAAATAGTAATGTGGTTTCTCTTAATGGCACCCCACTCCAAGACGTGGAGTCATACACCTATTTAGGCAGTAATGTAGATAAAGATGGAGGAACTGATAGAGATATTAAAATAAGAATACAAAAGGCAAGAGGGGCTTTCATAGCACTAGGGAATTTGTGGAGGTCAAAATAAATTAAAATAAATACTAAACTAAAAATTTTTAATTCTAATGTCAAATCAGTACTATTGTATGGGGCAGAAACATGGAGAACAATGAAGGTAATTACTAATAAATTGCAGGCATTCATTAACTGGTGCCTGCGCAGAATAGAGGGAATAAAATGGTATGATAGAATAACTAATGTAGAACTTTGGGAGAGAACTAAACAGGCTCCAGTGGATCAGGAGGTGAGGAAAAGACGCTGGCGTTGGATAGGGCACACACTGAGAAAACAGGAGAACAGCATAACTAGAATGTCTTTGCATTGGAACCCACAGGGGCATAGGAATAAAGGAAGGCCAAAAAACACATGGAGAAGAGAGCTGGAGAATGAGGTTAGAAAGATTGGGAGGACATGGGGAGAGCTCCATGTAATGGCGAAGGATAGAACGACTTGGCGTGAGTTGGTTGAGGGCCTATGCTCCATTGGGGGATAGAAAGGCAGAAGAGAAGAGAGAGGGTAATCTGTCGACTAACTAGTTAGTTATGCTATAAATATTCTGTAATATTTAGTTCTTAATTCACACATCTTATAAATATTCTGTAATGTTTTGTTCCTAATTCACACATCTTATAAATATTCTGTAATGTTTTGTTCCTAATTCACACATCTTATAAATATTCTGTAATGTTTTGTTCTTAATTCACACAATTTATAAAAATTCTGTAATGTTTTATTCTTAATCCACACATGTAATAAATATTCTATAATATTTTGTTCTTAATCCACACATGTTATGAATATTCTGCAATGTTTTGTTTTTAATCCACTCGTGTGAATATTCTATAAAATTGTGTTCTCAATCCACACAAATCATAGTTGACTGTCTCAGTCATAACAATTGAATGAACTAATTGTACATTTTTATATTTGAAATCTTCGGCGTCTGTTGCTTAGGCATTGTGAACGTGTTTCATAATGCCAGAGTGCTGTGTTCGATCCCAGCTGCAGATGATTTGGCAGCAGAACATCTTTGGTTGGTTTCAACAGTGGTACTGAGAGCTGACCATTCCAAAAGCAGTGGCAAACCACTGAATGTAAATTTGAATAGAAAACCACAACAGCCCCCAAAAAATACAGTGGTTGGTTACGCAAAATCCTGCAACTAACTTTTTTTTTTTTTTTAAATATATGAAATCACAGTATTTTAAATTATTTTAAAATGTCTTTAATGAGTTTAACCTATTGATGTCAAGAGAAATACCCAGCTAAATTGTTGGATAAATATGTAGATGTTCTTATTTATTTACAGGCCCTGGTGCCACATTGCCCAAGAGTGAATCTGATGAGTTCTCAGACCTGGCCTCGGATCTGGACTTTGATGAACTGGCTTCAGAATGTTGTAAGTTGGAGGGAGTGTCCAGTGCAGATGAGTCCACCAGAGATGCCAGAACAGCAAGTGTAAGTAGTAAGACAGAGAATAAACAGCAAAATCACAAACCAGCATTACCTGGCAGGCCTCAGGGTCACTCTTTTGTCGTATCAGGTGACAAGGGTGATTTCCGATGTAACAACACACAGACTGATATTCTTGGTGTACACAACGGTAGCAGAACAAAATCCTGTTTCTATGATGCCCGGTCTAATACAGAAGCTTCAGATCAAACAATGACATTCACGAACCAGCAAAGAGCTGGCTGCTTACCATCACAGCTTGAATATACAAATAAGCCGGTTTCACTACAAAACTTGGACATTATTTCTGAAAATGACATACCTTTTACAGGAAATCCCAACTTGCAGAAGCATTTGGACAATGTTCTAATCCCTCCACAATTGTTAAATCCACATAAAGATGAAGTTCACAGTTCGATGGCTTCAACAGATGTTGCAACTAACCCAGCAAGTGTTACACCAGCTTATCTTGCTTATGTGGATTCCAGCATTGCAGACAGTTCTTTGTTCAAGAAATGAGTCCTATCATTCTGTCAATGAAGGAATAACCTGCAGTGATTCAGCATCTCAGGTTGAGTCTATGGACTTTCTCCCAACAGGCACCATGACTCACTCAGCTCCAGTAATGGATCTAGCATCGCTGGCTAGTGACGCAACAAGAGGACCTCATCATCTGTCATCTGTAAACATGTTACATTCTAATACATTATCACATTCAACTAACTACATTACGGAGGAACCACTGAGTTCTGAATCTGAGGATGACATTGATTCAGGCTCAACATTATCCACCTCGCAAGCTTGCAATGACAGTAGCACTTCTACCACTGAAGATATGAACGAAACAGAACAAGCTGTGCCCGCTGTTAAACCGGCAGACTTTCAAAGTATAAAGAGACAGAAGATGAGACCGCCAGCTATAGACTGGTCGCCTGTTATTGACTTATCCCCAATCCAGGATGTGTCACCTTCAGTAGAAGAGGCTGAGCAGGAAGACATGTTAGCAAAACAGTTGGAAGAATTACACAGACAAAGATTACGAAATCTGTCTGCTGAGATTATTGACCTTGACAGCAATGAGTCTGAAAATTTACAAGATAATAATTTGACAGATTTCAAAACACTGAAGCTAACAAACACATTCCCTTCTCAACTGCTTCAGCATGCATTGTCACCCACCAACAGATTTCAAGAGGAGGAGCATACAGATGATGATGAGAAGAACAATCAGAATGAAGCTGAGTTGCCAGATGGTAACAGTCCATTCATCGGTACCCTTAAGAGGTGTAATAACTGTGAAGATATTAGCAAATTAGATAGTGACTCACCTTATGCGGATCATGTCTGTGATCTTGACAATCTGGGGCAGTTGGAGGATGATAATGTGATCAGCGATATTTCTTTTTATTCCTGTACAACACAGCCACAGATATTACCCCCTTATAGTACACATATTTCTGTCAGTTCATCAGCATTTGAAGCACTGTCTAATAGCTTACAGGAGAACATGGAGTATGAGCAAGGAACCAAACAAATAAAATATCTGGAGAATTTTATAACAGATGAAATACACAAAATTACAGAGGATATGGAGAACATAGTTCAACAGGATTACTTGGAAGAAAAACCTATTCCCCCTCCAAAACCAAGGAGGAAGCTTCCAGACCCAGAATTTATGGGGTCACCGTCAGAAGACAAGTTTGTTTCAGAAGGCATCGAGAATATACTCTCTTTCAGGATTAAGCCATGTGAACTCAGTGAGAAAATGGAGTCTAGCGTGAGAAACTCTTATGTGAAGATGGAATGTAGTATGAGAAACTCTACTTCAGAGATTTCCACTGATAAATGCTTGCAAAGACAGGATTCCCCTGAAAAGAAGAAAGCAAAAGACATGAAAGCCAAGCCAAGTCCTCTGTTGGTGCAGCACATTGAATCAGAAGAGCAAGTTGTGTCTCCTCATTATAAAGTCATGGAATCACCCCCGACTCCTGAAACCAAAACCACCAAAAGAGAGTTCTTTGTTGGTAGGTCAGTGTCTCCTAACTCCTCCAGTAGATCAGTCTCCCCAAAATCCTCTCCTGACCTTGATGTATATACTTATTTATCTCCTGTCACATCTCCTGACTCAGACTCCTCTCCACCCCAGCCCCTCTCCCCATCACTATTTAGAACAGATTCCACTGACAGAGATTCAAAGCTGGCATTCTGTGATAGCAACTCAATCAACTCTTACGTCAGCCCGTGCACTGATTCAATTCCTTACAGTAATGGTGTATATTCTCGCTTGCCTAAAACCATGGATCCTGTTAACGAAAGTGTTCATATAGTGGAATTTCCTCAGAAGGAGGGCAATCAAAAGAAAGGCACATCAGACAAAACAGTAAAACCCCCAATTTCACCCAGAAAAAGTCTCAGAATAGTTAAAGATCAGACCACAAGCAGCAATAAATGTCCGATATATGAAAATGTTGAAGAATTCTTTGCTTTGGAGCTCTTGCAAAATGAAAAACACAGAAAATCTCTTTGTGGTAAAGACTCTGAAAAATGTGCCACCTTTGAAGATATACTGAATCTAGATAAACAACCTCAAGAAATTGCTCAGTATGCAGAAATCTTCACCTACCCTGTGATTGGTGAGTTTCCTGGACACTTTAGAAGCAATTCAGTTCCCTGCATGGATGCCCAGCAGCTGTCTCGAACGAGCCCTTGTTTGGAACATGTCTTACACCAACAACCTGCATCTAGAAACCATACCCAGAACAGTGTAGGTGAAAGGACAACAGGAGTTAAAACAAAGATACAAGCATTGGAAGAGGTAATGAAAATGGTGTATTTCTGTATCACCCCCAGATCACAGTATCTGTTTACCTGACCACGCTTCTCCCTGGCACATTAATTTTCAAAGTCATTATTGAACCGCTCTTCCTGATTTCAGAGCATGAATCTTTTTAATGATAATTTAATCGTATCAGGTTTTTCACTCAGGGTAGAACCCAGTATTTCAGTCATAACTTAGACACTAATAAAAATATGGCAACAAAGTGTTGAAGCGACTTACCTCCATTCATGCAACGGTGCGTGCCATTATAACATGGCATTCCCTGTTGTGGGAAGTCCATCTCAGTATGTCAGGTGTTACTGCTTGGATGGCGGCACTAATGTTTGCTTACAAGGCCTGGACGCCAATGGTTAGAATTTCCAACACTTGTTTGATGTCACCCGACTTCCCGTAGTCTGAGGTAAGTCCACTCCAAATTTCGTTGCCATATCTTTATTAATGTCCGAGTTGTGAACAAAATACTAAGCTCTGCCCCGAGTGAAACACCCGATATAAATAGAAATTACAGCAAGTTTTGCATTTGGACTTATGTGCTTATACAGTACCTTACAACTTCTGTGCTAGTAAATATATTTTATAGTTGTACAATGATTGTGCTATTATGAAGCCGCCTCTCAGCTTGGCTAATGGAAATAACAAACAATTTAATGCTCAAGATGTTTTATAAACAGGCAGGAGAATTGAACCTGGGAGCACACTGATTTACCTCCCCCTGCCCTCAAACAAACAAAAAAAACAAAAAAAAAACTCAGAGCAAGGATGTCCCCTCTCCCGTCAAAAATAATTTTTAGGCAGGCCAAGGGCCCCCCTCCTAAAAAATCAGCACATAGGGTGAGATGAAGGGACCAATCCAAACTAATTTTAGACATTCTCTTCATAAGTAATTGTTTAATCATTTAATATTATATCAAAATAAACACTTGGCCCCCACCCCTCCCTAAGTGATTGTTTTTATGGTGGTGTCCCTTCAGAAATTTGACGATTAAGAATCTGGGAACATGTATTGAGCGGTTCAATCTTTGTTTCATGTTCACATGCATGTTGTATGTGCCCTGTCCGTGAATATTTACTTGTCAGTTGAAACAAATGTCTCCTTGCACAATCCAGCCAGAACAGTTATTCCTGCTTGTTGTAAATCTACATGACTGTCAGCATTAGATTTTGTCTGTGGGACTTACACTGAAAATGTAGTTGTTCCTACTGTTATGTAGTCACTTACTACACTATCGTCTGGAAAGACAGAAAAGTGCCAGGCATCAATCACTTATTATGCATATACTTATTCTTATTAAAAATTTTTGTTTTTAATATGTGGTTTCTAATTCATAATCCATTCACATCTTGACAGTTCAGAAATTACTTTTATTAAATGGGTTCTGTGGCCTGACATTGAAGGTGGGGATGTGGGGATAGATCCACTGAACAAATACATCATAAAAGGGGACTAATTAAAATTTAAAATCGGATGTGTTGGGCCAAAAGGTGCACAGATATCACAGTCTAGCTGTAAACCACAACACAACATGCCAACCATCCTTTTAGGTGTGAACACAGAAGAAGATTAGGATGCACACACACAAAAAAAGAAAAACATGAAAAAGTTTTTCTTGAGGATTTAAAAATAATGACTCTCTAATAATGACATTGAGAGCAATTGCTCTTTACAAATAACACTTGGAATAAAAGTTGAACATTATAATCAAAGGGTGTTAAGGCAAGATAATCTACTTCACTACATGGAGTTTAAATGAATATGTCTCTCTTTGTGTACAAAGCTGCTGGTCACTCTCTGATAGCATCACACAAGGCATGAAACTCCATAGCTCTATTAGCAAATCCCAGCTATCACTGAAAACACATGCACTTAAAAAAAATAAAGAAGAGTCTGAATCTATACTCACATCTTAAAGAAAAGAGTCTGAATCTATACTCACATCTTAAAGAATAGAGTCTGAGTCTATACTCACATCTTTTAGAGCACAATTTAGATGACTTAATTATGGAGAGTCAGTTGGGTATCCTTTGCAAGAGGTTGCAGAACAGGTCCCAGAATTTGTTGGCTATTTTAGTTTTACTAGGCAATATTATGTTCAGTAGTTTGCCATTTCTTCTGAATGGTCAGCTCTTGATACCTCTGTCAAAATCAGCAAAAGGCAGACTGCTGCCAAATTACCTGCAGCTGGAATTTAACAGGGTACCTTGGAATTATGAAGCACATTCACAATGCCTAAGCCATAGAGGCCAACTCCTTAGGGAGACCTCCCTCAGTATAGAATCATCATCCCCATGTGGGATGCAATTTTTAGTGATTTTGAAGCCCCACCCCGGAAGATTGGCTAATAAACAGCATCCTTTCTCGGAAGCTGAAATATTTTGGTCATATCAAGCGCCACAACTGATTGGAAAAAGTTATAGCAGAAGGCATGATACCAGGAAGGAGGGGCAGGGGCCGACCGAAATGAAGATGGGCACAGGATATAAGTGACTCCTTGAGTATGAAAGTACATGAGGCGGAAGAACTGGCGAGTGACAGAGTTTCTTTCAGTCAGACTGTGATGAGAGCGACATTCTGCAAAGGACCTGCTACATGATGATGATGACCCTGGCTTCTGCCAGGGGCCGTAAATATAACCGGACCTTAAATATGGCCTAATGGCTGATTGGGGTTTCCAGGACCTCTCCATAGGTGATCCTCATCCGCATTTTGGCACTATGTATCACTGGGTTTTTATCACTTGTTGATGTCCTGTGTGACTTACTTACCTACCTCGTTCAGTTAAAATCAGTTTACAAAAGGGTTGTGTTCCTTTATTCTTCTGTATGGATGCAGATAGGATTTAAGTTGCTGCAAATGTTTGGGTTTGAAATTCATACAGAGATGGTTTTTACAACAACAACAACATTTTTAATAATGACCTTGCCTCCCTGGTCAACACAACCTGAAATGGTTAACAGGAAATGTTCCAGGAATTAAAAGTTGTCAGCAGGATGTGGATCTAGTCACAAATCAAGCGCCACTTGGTCTGGGTGAAAATGAAAATTAAAAAAAAAATATTGTAATCTTGAGAGAGGTTTAAAAATGTCACGATTGGGTCTTAGCAGCTTCATTACTAAACTATAATTTCTGGAAAATAAATTGACTGCACATTCAAATCTAGAAGTTGTAAAGACTCTCACAATTTACCAATAAATAGTTCACAATTCACATTCGGTCTCTCTATCCGCTTGTGTGTGTGGTTTTTTTTTTTTTTTTTAATTCTTTGTCTTCTTACTTCCAAGACTTTTTGGCATTTGTCTTCATGTCTATTCACACTTTTATTGCATGTTAACAAATTCTTTCACGTACCAGTTTTAAATTTCCTGGTTTCATTCTTGTGTACTCATTGTTCTATTTCCCAGCCACTGCTTTGCCTAGTTTCATACTTGTGCACAAGTTGTTTTGTGTTCCCTGTCACCATATTTCCTGCTTTCATACTTGTACATTAATTGTTCTATGTTCCCACTCATCATATTTTTGGTCACATCATTGTGCACAAATTGTTCTTTGAGCTCAGTCATTTTATTTCTGGTTTCACACTTGTGCACTTGTTGTCCTATGGTGCACTTGTTGTCCTATGGTGAACTTGTTGTCCTATGGTGCACTTGTTGTCCTATGTTCCCAGTTGCAAAATTAACAGTAACAACTTGTATATAACTTCTCATTAAAAAATTTGTTCAATATAACTGTGTTCTCTGGCATCTTATATTTCCTAGTTAGATTTGTTAACAACTTTCTGTGTTCTCATTCTCTTTATATCTCTTTCTCTCTCTCTGTGTAAATGCATGTGCATGTGTAAGCATGCATGCGTGCACACATATTTTGTATCAATTGTACTGTTATATTTCCTGGTTTCATATGTTCAAGATATCATTAATTATATTTCCTGGTTACATATGTATGCACAAGTTGTCCCATTTCAGTTTTTTCGATTCTCTGATTAAATGCTTTTGCCCACATTGTTTTATGTTCCCTGTAATTTGTTTCTGAGTAATTTATACATGCACAAGTTGTTCAGTGCTCCCAGTCATTATATTTCATTATTACACTCTTGTGTTTAGAAAAATAAAAATACTTGCATTCTTCTTTTTCTTCTTCTTCTGCGTTCATCCAAAGATGTAATTGCGTTGTGTCCATTTACAGCATGGCTGCGATATTTGTACCTTTCGGCCAACACATCCAACTTTTGCGGACATTTATTTACTGAGTTAGCCTACCCGGTTAGTTTCTGACTTGCATCTGACTACATTCTAGTAAGCTATTTCTAGTATACCCACTTTCATTGGACTACAAGTTACAGCTTTAACCAGTGGGTGTCCGTATAACTGTTATACAGTTGAACAGAGGGTTTCTGGGATTTGTACCAGTTTCTCATCTTTTGATTTTTATTTCCAAAGTGTTATTCCTATAGAATGCAATCATGAAGGGACAAATATTTTAAATAAATATTTGCATAAATGAATCTTTGGGCCTATCAAAGATGCAAACAGTGGGGAATGGACAGTGAGAAGCAACAATGAAATTCATAATCTGTTTAAATCACTATTTATCACTGGTATTATGAGAGATAATAGAAATAAATGGCTGGGGCATATTGAGAGATGACAGAGACGTAAAAATTGAGTGCACAAGAAACTAAATGGTTGTAGACCATGAGGCAGACTAAGAAGATTATGGAGAGATAATGTCCAGACTGACCTACAAACGCTTGGTTTCACCAAGTGGAGGGAGAAGGCCAACCAGAGAGATGAGTGGAAGCAGGTGTTATCTGCAGCAATGAACCCTAAGGGCTCGGAATACAGAAGAATAAGGATGTGCATATATGTTGTTCTATGTTCCTAGACCCCTAACATACATACTTGTTTCCTAAGGCTATAGACACGTACAAGTTGTACCCAGACATTATTTTTCTAAATGTCTACTTGAATATTTGTTGTTCTTTGCTCACACTTTTGGAAACATGCAATGATCTGTTTCACAATGTAACATGCTGTTGATGTTTATTGCCGTCACATTTACTTGTAAAGTAATGAAATGTTGTGTGGCCCCAGAACCTGCAGGCTTTTACCATAGAATTGTTGCTTATTCCCTTTAGCTTCATGTTTCAACAAAGGTGGTGAGTGTTCCTTTGCATGACACCCTTTTTTTTTTGGTTTATGTTTAAGAATTTGTTTATTTCTTCAGTTCCTTCTGAGTTTTAAAGAATATTCTAGCCATTTCTGTCCCCAGCAACATGTTGCTATTAGTATAACTTAGTTTTCAAGTGTATTTTGCAACACATAGTGTGTTATTTAATCAGTTATGTTTAGTCTGCATGTGCTAAAGAAACCATGTTATGTAATGACCTATCTGCACCTATCCACCATCATCAGGTTCCAAACTGGGGCCTGGCCAGCTTAGATAGGATCGAGGTTTCCTTTGAAGCTGAATGCATCTGCCTGAGAGGCAAGGAACCAACAGTCTGCATATAAATAAGCCAGATCTGTAAAATGGATGCGCATACAAAACTCAAGTCCCGAAACAAGAGCAAAGTACAGAAGTCAATGAACAACCAGGACTTTTTATTAGAGTTTATAGCCATATCAGCTGGTACTGAGAGAGTTGAATTAATATTAAAAGTTTTGCTGTTTGTTTCTTTAATAGGCTAGCAGTATTAGCTTTGTACGTGTATTTTCTCACTAATTTTCACCTCATATTTCTGGTGGGTTTTTTTCTTAGTAGAGATTAGTTTTATATATTCGTATTGTATCTTATGTCTGGTAGTAATTTAGTTCTGTTCACATGCAATGTTTGCTTGACAACAATTTTGAATAGATGTTAATTTGAAATTGTAAACTCTATAGTTGATTATGTTTATGCTTATAGACAGTACTTAGACAAAAACAAAGTAAAACTACTTTGTTCATAGATCTCATTCCTGAACAAATTCTGCCATAGCTCTCATTTATAAACTAATTTTGTTCATAGATCTCATTCCTGAACAAATTCTGCCATAGCTCTCATTTATAAACTAATTTTGTTCATAGATCTTATTCCTGAACAAATTCTGCCATAGCTCTCATTTATAAACTAATTTTGTTCATAGATCTCATTCCTGAACAAATTCTGCCATAGCTCTCATTTATAAACTAATTTTGTTCATCGATCTCATTCCTGAACAAATTCTGCCATAGCTCTCATTTATAAACTAATTTTGTTCATAGATCTCATTCCTGAACAAATTCTGCCATAGCTCTTATTTATAAACTAATTTTGTTCATAGATCTCATTCCTGAACAAATTCTGCCATAGCTCTCATTTATAAACTAATTTTGTTCATAGATCTCATTCCTGAACAAATTCTGCCATAGCTCTCATTTATAAACTAATTTTGTTCATAGATCTCATTCCTGAACAAATTCTGCCATAGCTCTCATTTATAAACTAATTTTGTTCATAGATCTCATTCCTAAACAAATTCTGCCATAGCTCTCATTTATAAACTAATTTTGTTCATAGATCTCATTCCTGAACAAATTCTGCCATAGCTCTCATTTATAAACTAATTTTGTTCATAGATCTCATTCCTGAACAAATTCTGCCATAGCTCTCATTTATAAACTAATTTTGTTCATAGATCTCATTCCTGAACAAATTCTGCCATAGCTCTCATTTATAAACTAATTTCTGTCAAGCTGTCATTCCAATGGACTTTAATAATGTTATTTTAATATTTCTACCTGTTTCTCCCATCTTTGTTTACATTTGTAACTGAACCGATGCGAAACTCCAAATCTTTCTCTCTTCTTCCATGTTTGTGAAATGATCCATGACTTACATGCGTGTGTTGTGACAAAGAAGATGCTTCTTCTTCTTCTTCAGCATTCTGAGCCCTTGAGGTTCATTGCTGCAGATATCACCTACCTCCATTTATCTCTCTGGTTGGCCTCCTTCAGCATTCTGAGCCCTTGAGGTTCATTGCTGCAGATATCACCTACCTCCATTAATCTCTCTGGTTGGCCTCCTTCAGCATTCTGAGCCCTTGAGGTTCATTGCTGCAGATATCACCTACCTCCATTAATCTCTCTGGTTGGCCTCCTTCAGCATTCTGAGCCCTTGAGGTTCATTGCTACAGATATCACCTGCCTCCATTCATCTCTCTGGTTGCCTTTCTCTTTCAAGTTGGTGACACCAGGTGTTTGCAGGTCAGTCTGGACATTATCTCTCCATCGTCTTCTTGGTCTGCCTCATGGTCTACGACCATTCATCTCTCTTGTGTATACAGTTTTCACGTCTCTGTCATCTGACATTCTGTCAATATGCCCCAACCATTTCAGTCTATTAGCTCTCATGATGCCAATGATTTAAACAGATTATGAATTTTGTTGTCACTTTTCACTCTCCATTCCCAGCTGTTTTTATCTTTGATTGTTCAAAGATTCATCATAAGACTTTGTTTTCGAAAACTTGTAATAGGGTTTCATTTTTTTTTAGTTGTGCTCCAAGTTTCAAGTTATATATTTTGATCTTGATGTTGCGAGACAGACACTTTGACTTTAGCAGCTGTTGAAGGGTGTGGTATACAAAAAAGATGCATGTTTTTAAAATTGTTTCATTAATTTGGATCACCATTTTTAATAGACAGTTTCTGTAGTAGGCAGGTCAATTGATTTTTTTTCAAAACCGACCTTGGTTCCTAGGTCGACCCAGCCTAAGATGGGTATCGGGTAATGTCCTGGGAGGTAAAGGTGGCTTTTACGGGATATTATTACACACATATCTGCCTGAAACTGTTGTTACTAGTGGTTGCCCAGACATTTCTCTTATTTCTTCATCCCATTTAAGTTTATACAATTTTATGTTCATAATTTTTCTAGGTATTTGTTTTCGAATGCATTTAACTTTTGTTCCCTTTCTTCTGTGGTTCTCCAACTTTTACTAGCATGTGTCAGAATTTATATAATATTAGAACTGAAAATGTGTAACTTAGTTGTAAAATTATAGAGTTCCATATTTTGTTGAGGCTTTGAAAAGCTAGAAAGAGAGAGAGAGAGAGATACACACACACATACGCACACATGTCCACACACTCATGTGCGCATATATTACAGAAAATCATTTAATAACTAGTTATATACTATATTTTAGTGATTCATTTACTAACCATATATTTACATACACACACATACATACATACAATATTTTAATTCTGCATTATAAAGTATTTAGGAATTATTAAAGAAATTCATTTGCAAACAATTCTATACTATATTGTACAGATTTATTTACTTTACTAACCATCTATATATTTATACCCACTGAGTGCCAATTGGTCTAACAGCGTATGCCTTATGCGTATGCCTTATGCTTTCTATTAGCTTAAAGAGGGCTCAGTTTATCAGCTTCATGTAAAAATCAATTATTCATTTCTCCACATGATTTGTTTGGTGTTTGCATATGATAGAAAATTAACATCTATTTGCTGCCTTTTTCCACCCAGCAGACCACAAAACAATCTCAAAATGAACGAGAAAGGGAACCTCGAAGAGAGAGGCGTGTGCTGGACATGCATGCAGACAGTGGTGGCAGCACCAGCAGTGAAAGCAGTGCTAAAACATCCACTAGTCGCTCTTCCAGTGACCTCAGTCACTCTCAAGACAAGGACAGCAGCAAAGAGGCAAAGAAAATTCGACGAAAGTTGCCTCCCATTCCTGTAGGAGAAACATCTGTAGTAGTTCCAAAATCGAAAGGCAAGAGAGGCAGACCACCAGCTGTGAAACGTGGTGAAGTTGTTGATTATGATGATACTGACTTAGAGGCTAGGGACAGCTTCAAACAAACAGACAAATCCAGTTCCTATGGGGAATATACAGAAGGCCAAGGCCACTCTGTGACGTCTGGTAACCACATTAATATTACAGTTACTAAAGAAAATACACGCAGATTTGCCAGTGAAAGTGATAAAATGACAAGGGCAGCAATGGCTAATTGCCAGTCCTCATCAGGCAGTTTGAGAATGCATTTATTAGATGTTGGAAAATCGAAAAGCTTAGACTCAAGAGAATCTTCTCATGCTAAAACAAACAAGGCTGAAGCAATAAAGAAAACACAGCATATACAAAGAACAGCTTCATTAGGATGTGGGCCAAAAGATGAAACAGATGAGATCATTGACTCGTTAATTAGTATTTATGGTATACCATGCACAGAGGCCATGAAAAGTCTCAAGAAGAGACTGCAGGATGAGTTAAGACGCGTAACCAGAGACAGGAAAAGAAAACTTGAAGAGCTGGAGGAAATAAGAGCCCTACAGATGCAGATAGGAGCTTTGAAACTTGAATCTGAAGCTTGTGCCAGAAATAGATCTTTTTTAGATCAACGATCCAAACCTCTTCATTTGCATACTGACTCCCAGCAAGACAATAGAAAAAGAGGAGCACAACAGCCACAATCCTCAACTCCCAGATCCTCACCGCAGGTCACCCCTCGACGTCAGCGTCACAAGAGGCAGCTGTCTGATCCTATGGTATCAAAGTTCTCTCCGATCAAGGAGGACAGGGATATAGAAATTGATTTTCAAACTCAAATGCAGGAACCACTGAATATTCAGACCATGAAATATTTAACAGATGATAGTTCCCAGTCTGGAATAAGTGATGCAGAAAGCACACGATCAGAGCCAGTTAGGGATGCCAGGTACAACAAGATAAAACCATCAGATTACACTCGTATATTCTATCTAAAGAATCAAGGCCAAGAAAGTTCTAATGACAGACTGAAAATCTCCAAAAATGGCCAGGCTGACTACAATGGTGGTCAGTTCTTGTGTCTTAGTAGATCCGATCAACAGTTATCTTCACGTTCAAGATCTTCATGTTATTCTGATGATGAAGAAATCAAAGTTAGAGAAGAAAAGAAAGCATTCTTGCAATATGAGATACTGAAAAGAAAACAACAACTGCAAGAAACAGCAAGACTGAAAAATGAGCTCCTAAAATTGGCTAGAGCGAAACAAAGTTTGACTCATAGTTATGAGGACATATCTCGGCAAGATCAAACTCCAAGCCCTCAGCCTAGACCAGTGGCTGTTGGTATCATTAAACCTATTGATGATGAGCCACCTGTTTTGTATGAATTCCTGCCAGAGAGTTGTCGAAGCTCAAGAGAACCATCTAGAGAAAGTTCCAGAGAAAGATCAAGAGAAAGGACAGAAAACAGAGATCTGACATTTAGATTTAGAGATGATGCTCATGACGGCAGGATTGTGCCCGAACACAGGAGCCGTGACAGACACCGACATCATGCCAGCCATTATCAGTCTCCACCTCAGGACACGAAGACCATCTCCAACTATAGCTCCACTGAATACTTGGCTCACAAACTAGAATCTGCTTCAAGGCATTTCATGGATGAGCCTGACCAGTATGGATCACATAGCTGGGTGGCTAGTCATCACCTCAATGGAAGCTTGGTCTCAGTTCAGACATTTTCACAGCCTTCCATCAGCAAACGGGAGGATTCCACTCAGTCTTTATCAACGGGAAGAACTGATACAGCAAAGAAAGATACTGGAATTGTGTCTAGTGTGACTCTACCAAATATTTACTCCAACATGGAAGAGAAGCAACTTAGAGCAGCTTACAGGTAAAGTACACATTGTAATAGTAGGTTGTAATTTGATATTATCTTACATACACAAAATTAAAACAGTGCCATTTGATTAACTGGAGCACTATGGCTGGATGCTTTCCTGCTGGCTCTTAAGTCTTGTGTTTGTATCTGACCCGCCAACTGATTTTTAAGGGTAAAACAACATTTTTGATCACATTCAACTTTGCAATCTTTATATGGTGATTATTCGTGTGACAGTGCTTCTTGAATACCTACTAGGTAATTTTGCTCAGATTTGCTACTGACAATCCATATTTCTTCCTGTTCTTCTTATTGTTCTTCTTTATCTTCTTCTTCTTTGTGTTCACCGGCTATAAACTCGGGTGGAAAATTCTGCTTGTTCTGGACCTCAGTCTTGTTCCAGAAACTGTTTCATATATCTGGCTAACTTGTATGCAGACTTGGTTGCTTGCATCTCAGCCAGATGCCCTCTGACTTCAATTTGACAACTCCTCTGACATGCTTGTTTGGGAGGCAGTTGGTCTATTCTTGTTTTCCCCCACAATGGGGCTCCAGAGGCCACACAGGAATCTTTAGTGTTCAACAGTTGTAATGTTTGGTGGGAAGTTCTGGTTGTTCATTCACTTCTGGACTGCAGTCTTGTTCCGAAATAGTGAGTTGTGTGTGTACATTTATTTTACAGACAGGCTTACTTATATCCAGACTGTTGGTTTTTCACCTCTCAGGCAGAGGCATTCAACTTCAAAGAAAAAAAATCATAATTTGTTGCCTTTTATGTATGCTTGTCAAGGGATCAGTGGGTGTCTTCTTTTGCCCTTAGAATTAGGCTCTGGAACTGACATGGGTAGGTTAGTTGCGTATCATTTACAGGACGTTGCAGAACCAACCCTAACAGCCCTTGGCTGTTGTGTGGTTTTTCTAGGCCAATTTACATCCAGTAGTTTGCCATTGCTTTCTGGACCGTCGGCTTTTTTGATACCACTGTCGAAACCAACGCAAGGCACATGGCCCGAAGCTGGGATCGAACCCAGCATCCCGGCATTACGAAGCATTTGCATTGACTTAGCCACAGAGCCGACACTGACATGGGAGAAATCTGTATTTAATTTGTACAAATGTAATCATAATATTCAGAAAAATCTATACTCAATTTATAAAAATTTAACAATATTTATATAGAAAATATGTATTAAATTAATGAAACTTATCCTAGAGAGTGCAGAGAAACTCCCCGAGTGGTTAGGATGCTTGGCTGTCAAGTGGGAACCTGGGTTGAGATCTTTGTTTTTTTGTTTTAGTATCCAGAAGCCATGAGTTGTTAACCCTTAGGCTCGGTATTATGGATATCGCAACCTTTCGGCCTTGATTCCATTGTAAATACCGTAAATCTGGGAGAAATGTGGCTTTTCTGCATACCCCCGGGAGTGAACTCGGGCCACAAGGAGTTCATGACCCGGTCATCGTGCTGTCCGGTTTAGCCAACTACGCTAGAGAACCGGGCTAGAAATCTTTGGTAAGATGATGTCAGTTTTTTTTTTTTTGTAACTGGGAGCCAAACAGTCAACATCCTAACCTGCACAGTGTGTGGCAAAAGCACTAGCCATGCTGCTTGAAGCCTTCTGACTCAAGATCTCCTATTCTAACCTTAAAACAAGTGGTACAGGCAGGCAATATTGACTCTTTTTTTAAATTTTTTTTATCCTAGAGAGCAAATGAGTATAAACCTGAGTGTGTCAGATCTTGAAGCCAGCCCAACCAGTGACGTCACACCAGCAATGCCTCTTCTGGATGATGTGAAGGCAAAGTCTAGAACAATATTACGTAACATTGGTAGTGGAAGTAGGCCTGTCTCGGAGGAGTTCAGTGCTGGAGAGGTGGAAGGTAATCCTCATCCTCATCAGTATTCTCATCATTATTAAAATTTGGTAGTGAAGTGGTTAGATACTTGAAAATCAGTCCCAAGTTGTTTGGTTTGTCAGCACTGATGCTTATTTTTATATGAGGTCACTTCCAATGAAAATGTTGAAAGTATGATAGAAGTTACAACAACCATGTTATTCTCAATACCACTGTCAAAACCAACGCAAGGCGCAAGGCCCGCAGCTTTAATCAAACTCAGCATCCCAGCATTACAAAGCGCGTTCGCAACGCCTAAGCCCCAAACGCCGACAAAGAGGTGAGTCTGATGCTGGAAATCACCCACTGAGTGCTGATTGGTCTATAAAACATCTGGATCTGCACCTTATGCCTGATGTACTTCTTCTTCTTCTTCTTCTGCCTTTTTATCCCCCAATGGAGCATAGGCCCTCAACCAACTCACGCCAAGTCGTTCTATCCTTCGCCATTACATGGAGCTCTCCCCATGTCCTCCCAATCTTTCTAACCTCATTCTCCAGCTCTCTTCTCCATGTGTTTTTTGGCCTTCCTTTATTCCTATGCCCCTGTGGGTTCCAATGCAAAGACATTCTAGTTATGCTGTTCTCCTGTTTTCTCAGTGTGTGCCCTATCCAACGCCAGCGTCTTCTCCTCACCTCCTGATCCACTGGAGCCTGTTTTAGTCTCTCTCCCAAAGTTCTACATTAGTTATTCTATCATACCATTTTATTCCCTCTATTCTGCGCAGGCACCAGTTAATGAATGTCTGTAATTTATTAGTAATTGCCTTCGTTGTTCTCCATGTTTCCGCCCCATACAATAGTACTGATTTGACATTAGAATTAAAAATTTTTAGTTTTAGTATTTCTTTTAATTTCTTTTGACCTCCACAAATTCCCTAGTGCTATGAAAGCCCCTCTTGCCTTTTGTATTCTTATTTTAATATCTCTATCAGTTCCTCCATCTTTATCTACATTACTGCCCAAATAGGTGTACGACTCCACGTCTTGGAGTGGGGTGCCATTAAGAGAAACCACATTACTATTTGCCTGATTTATTCTCATTATCTTTGTCTTTCCTTTATGGATTTTCAGACCAAGCTGCTGTGATCTCGCATTAAGTATATTTAATTTATCTTGTATCTGATTCCGTGAATGGGACAGAAGGGCAATATCATCAGCGAAGTCCAGATCATCAAGCTGTTTTGTAGGGGTCCACTGAATTCCATTCTTGGTGTTAGCAGTTACTGTTTTCATAGTCCAGTCTATAGCCAGTAAAAATAGGAGAGGCGACAAAAGACATCCCTGTCGCACACCTGTTTTTATTTCAAATGCATCTGTTAGCTTTCCCTCATGAAGAACTCGACATTTCATGTCTTTATATGTTGCCTTTACTAAGTTGATAATTTTCTGTGGGATTCCATAGTGCCCCATCAATTTCCAGAGAGATTCCCTATCAATGCTGTCAAATGCTTTTTCATAGTCTATAAATCCAATGTAAAGTGGTGAGTTCAGTTCAATGCTTTGCTCTATTATAATACGTAATGTGGCTATCTGATCAGTACAGGATCTGTTGGACCGAAAACCCGCCTGCTCATCTCTTAGCATTTTATCAATAGCATCTTTTAATCTCTGATGTACTAATGATGTGATAATTTTCTTCTACTTGGTTTTGAAACACTAAAGGTTACTTACTTACCAAACACTACAACCGTCGGGTGATGTGACCATCCCCATCTGTACGATTGACTATAAAAATATAGTTCTGCCCATATGCCCAGGCCTTCCTTTTTTCCCCAACATATATTAAAAAACATAAAAGAATTGTGTTTAATAAATAATACATACAACATACATACAAATACAACATACAACAAATATAATATAATAAAATATTAAAATAAAAAAATTTAATATATATATAATATTTTATTATAAAATATTATAAAATAATATATATTATCTCTATTTTTTAAACTCTAATCTTTTCGACATGTTTAATGCATTTCCCTGTGGAAAAGGGCAACGGTGGAGGAGAGCCCAAACAGAAAAATATGCAAAGGGGGTGTGACCTTTAAAAAAGTTTACGAAAAAAAAAGGGTGAGTTATTTTACAGCTTTATGTGGTTGAATAAGTTAAAAATGAAGACCTTTTTCCCCCCCTTTTGGGTATTGGGCAAAAAAGGGGAGACCTATATGTTACCACCATCTGGGATTTGGGGTTTTATTTTTTCATATCACGTGACCCCCCTTTTCTTTCAAGGACTTTACCCGGTGCCCACTGAGGGTTGGGCCGACTAGAACCCAAGTATTTTTTAAAAAAAAATTCCATTCAGTAAGGATTGTTTATCCTAAAAAAAAATTTTTTATCTTTTTTAATGATTCCCTGGGCTTTCTAAGAGACATATTGCATTACCCTGAAAATTTAAATTATTAAATTTTTGGAAAAAGAATTTTTATGTTAAAAATTTTGAGAAAAAATTTTAAAATTTTAATGACTAATAAAGCTACTTTCGGGGGTTGGACTGATGGTAAAGTTTTTCAAAACCCGCCCCGGCTTCCAGGTAGACTTAGTCTAAAATGGGGGCGAGTGATGTCCGGGGAAAAAGTGACTGGGATGAGTAATATGGGATAACAGTTGCTTTTATATTGTTTAAAGGCTTCTTTTCCCGATGCGGGCCCCTTAACTATCTGAAAATTTTTGTCCCATTTT